TGATGTTGTGGCAGGCTTATGCAATATATGATCCTACAGTGTAACTAAACCACCATTATTTTTTGCCTAGGTGAGGTGTTTTAAATAAAACTGTTTCAATCTGCGAGATTTGAAATCAGTGTTTAGGGAATAAGCGAGAGCACTGGATTGTGTATTTTGTATGTTGTATATATTGGCACCAACAGCACCCTATAATTTATGCATGTTCAGGTGAGTGCAGTCCTCTTGGTTTAATATATATTTATTCAAATTATATTAGAAAACTCAATTTTAGCATTATATATATATATATATATATATATATATATATATATAATGCTAAAAATGAATTTTCTAATATAATTTGAATACAACTGTATAATTTGCCCCCTCCTATCCCTTTTATTCTTCTTGAATTAAATTCTTGCTATAATTCCCAATTCAAAGTGCAAAAATTAAATTAAAAATAGAGGGGATATAGGTGAAACCTTATTTCTATATATAAAGTTAAATCTTAACCAGACATTTCTAAGAATGTAGTAACAGAAAGAAAAAGAATAAATTAAAAAATACAACTCTTTCTAATCTTCATCTTTCACTAGTGAAAATATTTATATTTTAGAATTAGCTATACTATTTCCCTTGTTAGTTGAATTATTTAAATATTTATTCATCAACGTATGTAGTAAAGTATTATACGTGTATCCTTATATATATATATATATATATATATATATATATATATATATATATATATATATATATATATATATGTAGAGAGAGTGAGAGAATACTAAAAAAGTAACTTTGCTGACGACTGTCTGTATTTCACCCATGAATTTTCTAATATCATTTGAATAAAAACCCCTAATTTACCCCCTCTTATCCCTTTTATTCTTTTGGATTAAATTTTTGCTATAATTTCAATTTAAAAGTGCAAAAATAGATAATATGAAGTGAGATATAGGTAAACCTTATTACTATGTATAAGGTTAAATCTTAGACATTTCTGCATTTCCAATCATGTAGCAACAACAACAAAAAACAAGAAAAAAAAGAAAGAAAAAGGGGTCCTGCAAGTTTCATTTACAATTTTTTCTTTATGTCAAGCATTAATCCTTTTATTCCTTGCATTGAGACTTATCCTTTTTGTAGATTGAATTGTCTCTTGCGCTGCTAATGTATTTTTAAAGAAGTGTGTTTGGTTTTGAAAAGATACTAAGGCAGTAGGAAACTTAAACTTGTATTTAATATTATTGGCTCTAAGTATAGAGGTTTGACTTCTTTCTTGCCTGTCGTGTTGCCAGAGAAAGATCTGTGAATAGCTTAATATATTTAAGTTGTGGGTCTAAAATTGGGGTTTTCTGAGCTGTTTGCATGATCACATTTTCAATATAATTATTTGAAAAACATACAAAACAAACATCTCTATGATTTTCAGAAGATATATTCTTAAGTATTGAAGTCTATGGAATCTTTCAAATGGATATTCTCCTAGAGGATTTGAAGGTATGAATTTTGTAAACAGTGATCTTGGGTATTGAACCAGTTGGTAAAAAGCAATCGATTCTGGAACGCCTCTTACTTTTATATTATTCCTTCGTGAGTGATCTTCCAGATCAACTACTTTATTCTCCAGTGTAGTAATCTTCATTTCCAATTGATCATTCATTTGAATTAAATCTTTATTAGCATCTAGCATTTTTTGCAGAATACTGGATTGTGTTAGATTGTTAGAAGAAAGTTGAGTAAACCATTAGAATTATCTTCAAAATCTTATTTTATTTTGATGTAAAGACTAGAGTTGAGCGGACACCTGGATGTTCAGGTTCGGCGGGTTCGGCCGAACTTTGAAAAAAAGTCCGGGTTGGGGCTCGAACTTGATCCCGAACTCGAACCACGTTGAAGTCAATGGGGACTCGAACTTTTGGCCACAAAAATCCCTCTAAAAAACTCCTGGGAAGGGCTAGAGAGCTGCAAAACCAAGTAAAATGGGGGTCAGAGTAGGACAAGTGCCCTGCAAACAAATGTGGATAGGGAAATCACTTAAAATAACATACAATACATAAAAATGAAAAATACAGCTGAGCCATAAAATAGCACTAGATGGAATCTTTGATTTTAGCTTTGGAAGAACATAAATCAAAATCTATAGCATGGCTGTCAGGAGGATCACCAGAATTATCCATTTGAGAGAGGGTTGGAGTGCAGGGTATTCTCTTTTATTGTTCAAACTGAGCTCAACTCCTGATGCATGGAGAAAAGGCCTTCACAAGCCTCTGCTATTGTGTGCATAGTTTATACTAAGTGACCCATAAGTTGGGGAGGTGGTGACTGTGGCGGTGTAGGTGGAAGCGGCAGTGGAGGAGGAGGTAGCCAACACTGTTTTTTTATATATATATATTTTTTTATTTTAATTGGGGTAGCCCCCAAAATATTGGGACATATAAAAAAAGAAACAATTGAGGCCTGCGGTTCATTTCTTGCAGTCCTGATGCATGGAGAAATGCACAACTCCTGATGCATGGAGAAAAGGCCTTCACAAGCCTCTGCTAATGTGTACCTAGTTTTTACTAAGTGACCCATAGGTTGAGGAGGCGGTGACCGTGTCGGTGGAGGAGGAAGCAGCGGTGGAGGAAGAGGTAGCCAACACTGTATTTTATGGGTTTGTTTTTTTTTTTTTAATTGTGGTAGCCCACAAAATATTGGGACATACAAATAAAGTAACATTTGTGGCCTGTGGTGCATTTCTTGCAGTCCTGATGCATGGAGAAATGCTCAACTCCTGATGCATGGAGAAAAGGCCTTCACAAGCCTCTGCTAATGTGTACCTAGTTTATACTAAGTGACCCATAGGTTGAGGAGGCGGTGTTTGTGGTAGTGGAGGAGGAAGCAGCAGTGGAGGAGGAGGATGAGGTAGCCAACACTGTATTTTATGGGTTTTTTTGTTTGTTTTTAGTTTTTTTTTATTGTGGTAGCAGACAAAATATTGGGACATGCAAATAAAGTAACATTTGCAGCCTGCGGTGCATTTCTTGCAGTCTATATCCTGAGTAGGAGTAACAACTTGGCAAGTGGATACTATACAATTATAACATCCTACCCACAAGGTTAAACTGAAAACAGATAAAGTGTTATACTCTATTATAGAGATTTCTGTGATACTCTCTGGATACATTAGTTATTTAATATTATCTCTCTTACTACTTACTCTACTTTGGAGCATTATTTATGTTTGAGATTTAATCAGTGCACTGATTGATTACTTTTGTCTGCTTTAACAGACACATTATTTAGAATCAGGACTTTCTTTTTGCTACTGTTTCCACTATATTAGGACCATATAATATAGACTGTGACCTATTGAGTTTTATTAAAGTCAAATAGTCGTGGATATTTTCTAATTACAGTAGGCTATGAGGGAGGTATAACCTCTTTTGGTTGTAAACACAATTTAGATGTTATGGAACATTATAATTTAGGTAGATACTTTGAAAAGGTATTTGAATGATTATGATTATTATTTTCATTTATATCATTATTTTTCCAGTTTTAGCTTATTTTGCTGGACTAGTCTTTCCAACGTTTAAGATTTTTTCTTATCCTTGCAGTCTTGATGCATGGAGAAATACTCAACTCCTGATGCATGGATAAAAGGCTTTTACAAGCCTCTGCTAATGTGTGTTACGGTACCCTCAGCATGAAATGTACAAACCGCCATTTAGTGAATGCTCCCCTTTCGCAATAACATAGGAAGCATGCGTATCCAGTATAATCATGCGAACTGCAAGCAAGGGAACGCTGCAAACTCACGAACGGGATCCGTACGGGCACTTCACTCCACGAGCTCCAAACTCACCAATCGCCAATATTAGCCAAACGCAGGTATCTCCCAAGCGGCTAATAATCCCATCCAGCAGTCTCTAGTCATCGGTAATAAATCCCCCCAATAACAAGACCAAGCTCCGCATTGGGGGTAAAACAAGAACTGGCTTTACTGTGGGCTACCTGCCCGTATTTATGCAGGTCTCCCACTTGGTGGACACTCCCTTAGGGGACCAAATGGGAGACAATAGACAAACATATGGCAGTTCAGGACCCACAGACACAAAATATTCCCAGCATTCATCAGTAATTCCTCCCCTCTGCCCTGGAGATAATCGAGAAGTAATTCAATTATCTCCAGGACAGAGGCAAATCGCCATTTTAAATTCAACACAGAAAACACATAAAAATATATAACTTTACATTTGTCGAATGTTACCCATTCGTATCACATATCCCCAGATAGCCTGGATCTGAGTGCACATTATTGGCGAATAGCGCTCCGATCCCATACGCATAGTTCAATCGCCATGGAGTCAAAGTCTATTACAGTCTTTCGATATGCGATTGACTCCATGGGAAGGCTATCTGGGGTAAGTCCATTCGGCCGGTGTTCGCACACTTCTGTCGATTGAGAAGGGAGGTCGGCGGCTTCAGCGGTGTTCGGCTGAAAAAGTGTCCGTTTTCAGTTCCATGAAATCAATGCCGAACACCGCTGGTCTTTCGCATGGTTTAAAATCGCCGCGGCCTCGTGGTCGACATATGAACGACGACCACCCTGTATTCGGTTTTAATTGAGAAGTGTCTGTGGTTAACCGCAACGTTCTAATTGGGATCAATAGGTTAACCAGCAGCACACTTCTCTTCTGGGTGGCCGTCCGTTCGGTAGTTTTGTTCGGCGGAAAAGTTAATTCACGCAACAGGGGCATACGAATGGGTAATCCAGCAATCTTAGTCTATACAGATGGATCTGTCACAATGTGTACCTAGTTTATACCGTGGCGGTGGAGGATGAGGTAGCCAACACTGTTTATATATATATATATATATATATATATATATATATATATATATATTTTAATTGGGGTAGCCCCCAAAGTATTGGGACATATAAAAAAAGACATATCTGTTCCGCAGAGTAGCTGTTGACAGCTATAGAGAACCTCGGGCAAATCGCACAATCGCAAATCATGGTGGCGACTTTGCATGCGGATGTCATCCATATCAACGTTCAATGCCAGATTCTGCGCCTACCATGTTGATTGGTGATTCTCGAGCTAATACATGCAGACGAGCGTTAGGGGACAGCCGCTCCGCTTTTGCACCCTGCTCCCTCTTATGCTGTGCTGGTGCCTCTGTGCCTCTTCTTCCAAACTGCACACGTAACTCGCATGAAGTTGATTTCATGTGGGGTCTAGGACCTCATCATCCTCCACATCATCTTTCACCCACTCCTCAACCATGCCCTCCTTGCCGGTATGTACATTGCAGAAAGCCACAGCAGTTGGCACCTGTGTTTTTCCAGCATGTAAAGTCTGCAAAGGACATATGGAAATTGTTTTCGAATTTCTTCCAGGCAACACTTTTCCCTATAAACGGACCTCTCAGTTTGACTTGTGATGGTATTGCCCCAGAATTACAATATTATTGAAATACCTCTTAGCTATTGATAACTGGTTTAAATATATCAGCTTATCTGGTAGTTTCTAGTGTAGAAAATATCAATCTGTTTTCTATCACTTAGATCTGTGTAACAAGTGTTGTAGATGTGAAACAATATTACAAGTGACCGATGTAGTAAATTTGAATCAAAGTTACACTTCGATTTGACTCTTAGATATGAAGTGAACACCCCATATAGACTATTTAGCACCAAAAAAAATAAAAATTTACTTTTTTAAACTCCAATGTAAGCAGCAGATTAGCAGCAAAACAATTAGAATGTTGTTTCTTGGGGCCAGGGTGGGTGGAGGACAGCGAGACCCCAACCAAGCTGTAACGCTGGCTGCGGGGTTCATGTGCTAATGGTGTCTGGTGGAGTGCTTGGAGTACTCGGTGAGCACTAGGAAGCAGCGATTGGCGGAGGCACCCAGTGGGGTGCCAGGCAGTCCGCCACACCCCTGTTTTTAAATTAAATTACTTTTTATTTATTTTTATTTTTCCCACTCTGAAAGAAAACAGTGACACAAATTCAAACACTTTGAATTTGACATATCATACTTTGTCAAATCCAAATTTTCAAAAAAATACTAATTCTGCAGCTCTCTCCAATCAAGACTGCAACTTTATTTGCAAAATTAGGTGAGTAACAGCAGAATGCTTTGTTCATGGATGGGTCATCCATTATAACCAACAAAGGCAGACAGTGGACTGCAGTAGCATACAACCCACAATAGCAAATTGTGATCCAAGTAAAAGGGAATATAAGATATAGTCAGTACACTGAATTGAAAGCCATTGTTATACTTATAGAGGAAATTATTGATCCAGAACTTTATGACATGGTTGCCAATATAAGTGTTAATTCCTATTGAAATATGTACTTTTTGAAAAATGAAAAAAAAAAGAGAGGACACAATCTTCAGACATATAGCATTTAAGCAAGCTGACTTGCTTTAGGGGACTGGAGTGACCTCCCACCAAAACATCTTTCTGTCAATGAACAAGGATAACACAATACTTACTTGAATAAAGGATAAGACTGATAGTTGTTATCACAAGAGCCGATACAAAAATAATCATTAAGGTAACCCATAGATTGAATTTCAGAAAAATGTTTTTCCTTTTCCTCTGTTCCTATAAATTAAGCAATATAAAATAGTTAAAACTATAAAATACTGTTAATGAATTATTCTGGTATATCTTTACAATATACGATATATAAAAAAAAAGTTATATCGGAGGTACAGGTTCTATCATTACCAATTATAATATTCAAAGGACAAACTAAGCAAGCAACCACAACAGCTCTGTGTAGTGGTTATAGTTCCAGTAATCTACTAGAATTTACAAATAATTTAAGAGCAGTTTGTGAATTCTACATTGTCAGTTCAGCTGGAAGAGGGAGAGATTGAGTACTAGAATCAGTCACATTTTTTGTCTAATCACTCTCAGATGAGTCAGAAGCTACCGGTAGGAGGGCCAGCTCATTGGCTGAGAGAGTGAAATGATCACAATTAGCCAATTAGCTAGACTCTGCACCACCAGCGATGAGAGCTTCAGGCTTCAATTAAAAGAAAACCCAGGTCATCCCTGTTCAAACTAATGGGGTTATTTAATAAATTATTTTGCATGGATTTTGTAAGGATGGAGAAAATGCTTTGAAAATGATGAATTCTGATGGCATTGGCAAGTTTCATGTGAGCGAACCTGCAGCAATTGCCCGGATGCATTCGGTGTCTGTATTTAAATTGGTGCTTTTGCATCTGAATCCTATACAAATATATATGATTTGGAAGATTCAAAATGCATCATAGATCAGTCTGAGGTTAGCCCTCCATGTGTAATTTAATTGCATTATGGTTTTAGTTTTTACCTTAAGTAACAGTAATTTCTGTTCAAAAAAAGTTTTTGGTGAATTTCTGTTCAAATAAAGTTTTTGGTGAAAGAAGTGATAATCCAATCCAACAAAGCTGGCATTACAATTGGACCAAAAAGTTCCTAAGTATCATTAGATATTAGACACACTTTTGGTTCTTCTCAAGTCACTAGGCTGGCTTTTCTCAGGAGGCAACAGGTCAGGTGTAGAACTACTAGCAGTGCAGATGGTGTGACCACACCAGGGCCCCAGCGGTTCAGGGGCCCACCAATCACTGTTACACCCATTAGCCATGTAAGGCCCTTCCCGGTCTTCCAACACTACTCATTGTTCTGCCACTAAAATAAAGGCCAGGCTGCATGGAGGGTCACTTGGATCTGGGGGGTTAGTGTGCACAGCAAGAGGAGAAGTGGAGGAGGTAGAGTCAAGTGTAGATGTGTGAATATGTTGTGAGCTTATTGCTCAGTCTGTGTATTTGTGCATGTTTGTGTGTGACAGTGTGTGACATATTAGTGTGAGCATCTGTTGCCACTGCTGGCACTGCCATAAGGGGGCTGGCCCAGGGGCAGTTAGCAAAAATATCCAGGTGACCAGCGAGAGGTGGGAGCACAGAGTACCCCACTCCTGACGTTCATTTAATATAGCCATTCGGAATGCCCACGTGAATAATTTACCTGGCCCTTGTACTGTGGTGCCGGTGTCTCGTTATGTGAAGAAATAAAGCATGCAGCACTCTGAGGGGATGGGAACATTGCTTTAGGAGCAGAACACCACTGTCTGTACTTGTGGCCCTGTCTGTACTTGTGTGTGTCACTGTATCTGTTCATCTGTGTCAATCTGTATATGTCAGTGTGTGCTCTTACAGTGTATCTGTGCATGTATGTGTGCCTCTCTATGTGGCAGTGTATGTGTATCTTTGTAGGACACTGCAACTGTGTGTGTGTGGCAATGTATGAGTATATGTGAACATGCACTTGCAGGTAAACACCAACATCATGAACAAATGAACCCCTTTATTTAAACGCTGGCACTACAGACCAAAGCACCCCTGCATTAAAACACCATCACTGTATACAAAACCAGCCTTGTGTACAAACACCAACACTCACACAAACACAAATACACTACTGCATTCTAACATCAGCTAAATATACAAACAGTCACACCATAAAAAACACCTACATTCACTCATAGGCACTGCAAGCACAACCCTGCAAGGATGGGCAAATTATAGATCTACAGCTGACAAAACCTTATCAGAGTTTTACAACAGTTGAGATCTACCTTTTGGCCACCTCTGGTCTATAGTTGAGGGCAACAACCTTTTTTTTGTACCAGGACCCTCTCTGCCACAGGAAAGGGTGTAGGTGTAAGAGGCAATAAATGCATCACCTGAATGAATGCTTACTACATAACAATATATTTTGGTACATGTGCTTCTGAACTCATTGGAACCAAATCTAACCACCTCTGGGAACATAGACAGCTATGTTGATAGCAAACATGTCTTTCATAGCTATTGCCTTAGAAATGTGATTGCTTCCAAAATCATTTAACAAAATGTCAAACAGTAATATTAGTAATATTAGATAATAAACACATACGCTTTCCAAAGTGGAAAGAAAATATGGTCTCCTAAAACAAATGTTTATATGCCATACAACAAGGTATATGGATATTTTCTGTAATGGAGTAGAAATCAACAATTGTGTAAAAACCATTTAGTAGCAAACTCTGCTCCCCCATCCCTGCATATTGAATTGCACTGATGACAAATACAGCAGATTCAAAGTGCCTTAACCATTACTGTGGGGTCCTGATGAAAATCTCTCATTGGATTCTAAATGTTCAGATTTTGTGAATTTCTTGGCTCTTTCCAGATAGAAATAAATAGATCTTTTGATATATATCAAATGCAAAAAATCTTTTTTTTTTTTTTTAATCATTCTGAGGATCTTAACAAAAAGTTGAGCTAAAAGGGGCATTAGGACAAAATGATGGCTGGAGTGTTAGTATGACCTTACAGATGAAAAACAAATTTAATTTAAAAACAATCCAGAACATCTGATTGATCTGACTTGTGTATGGAGGTGCATTTGTGTAGTTTCTTTCTGACATTCTTTAGTTGAAAATGTAAAATAGGCAAGATAGAGACAAATCGAATCTGTTTGGTTTCTGCAAATATTGCATATGTTTCTATTGATTATGTTTGGATGTTTGGATTGACATAAGTAACAGATGGTATCACAGTCACAAGACTTTCTTTGTCAGAGAAGTCTGGAATGTGGATTGGGGTTCTTGTACTTGGACTAGGGTTATATTCTGACTTTATTAAAGTCATGTATATATGAATGGCAGAGGAGTATAGCTGATGGTCTACAGAAAACAAAACACAATACAAAAGTGTAATACTGTAAATAAACAATAAAACTGTGTCCATAAAGTTAAACTCACAAGATGTAGATAGTAGGATAGTCACAATTCTCACCGCGACATCAAGACTGCCAGACGAGGTCGCCCCAGAAGTGCCCAATAAGGGATCTGCTAGGAAGCATTTAAACTAGGAGGGAGGGACAAAAGGGTGATACAACATCAATCAAATTGCCCCCCATACCAGGGACAGAAAGTAACTGTAGCGAGTGTGTTAAAAAATGATAAGCTTACAGTGATGTCTACAAATGCTCGCAGTTTAGGGAATAAGATCCTAAATTTAGGTAAGGCTTTTGACACTGTTCCACATAGAAGACTCCTTAATAAACTGCAATCTTTAAGTTTGGATTCCAATATTGTTGAATGGGTTAGGCAGTGGCTGAATGACAGGCAACAGAGGGTTGTAGTCAATGGAGTATATTCAAAGCAAGGTCTAGTTACCAGTGGGGTACC